ACTCCACTGAGTGGAAGCAAAAAGAAATGCTCCCCCTACACTGCAAGCCATCTTGTGCAGCAGACACAAAAGCAGTCTTTTCTTGGAGTGGAGGAAACTGACCAAAACAAGACAACAATGAAGAAGGGGCTAATAAAAAGTCCACTTACAAATCCCTAAAGCTCTGGGTTTGCTACCTGACCAAAAATTTATCAGCTCAAGATCATGATTTTGTGCAGACCTTGAAACACCCTGAACAATTTCCTCTGTCTTAAAAAAAAAATTAAAAATTACTGTTGTATCCTCACTGCATAATACACAAAGTATCCATGGTAAGGGTAAAAATAAAAATCCCCTCAATAAGAAATAAATAACTTGAAAATTTTGCTAATGTTAACCAAACATGAGAGTACAAGAGACTGAAATATTCCAGATCTGGTAAATAAATACCTTATTCACATATTTCAGAAATAAAATAATTACCTAAGATATCCTTCAATTAGTGGGTACAGGAGAAATAAATCTTAACTTTCATGGATGTCTTCAGTTTTTGTACTCAGATTAAAAATTCTGCACTCAGATCAAAAATTCCGAACATTTCAACTGCAAATCACAAATTAAATCAGCCACAGCAACCACCTGCAGTAATCACAACAACTCTTCCTCTCTCCTACCCCCTCAAAATAAAACATGTAGCCTTCCACTAGCAACAAATAAACCAATAAACCAATACATAAATGGTCACATGCTTCAGAGAAAATAAAATCAAGCTCACTAAGCTGCTGCCTGGAACATCCTCCATAGATGCAACACTCATACATTTTCCAATGATACTATTATAAGTGAGAGTGCAAAATGAAAGAATTAGCAAACAGAACACCAGCAGAAAGAAACAGACAACCTGCACTGAGGTCTCAAGTTCAGCCATAGACATCATTTAGTGACCAAAACATCAAGCTAACATCAAACCCGTTTACCTTATTCTTGGAACACATTTTTGTTTTGGCCTTACTTGGTCTGGTCAACACCTATCCCTCATGATACCTCATAAGAACACATCTCAAATACCACTCTGCCAACATCACAGGAAGTGATCTTGGCTCTGAATTCTCACGTACTTACTACATCTATCTCCCTTGAATTACTGTTTCTGCAAAGCCCTAAGTCATACCTTCATCTCCTCTCAACTACTGTAATTTCCTTCTTAATGGGTTCTTTACGTCCCAGCATTCCAAACTTCAGCTTGTCCAAAATGCAGCAGTTCATCTTCTCACCTGGAAACAGGAAAACAACACTCCAGATTGATTTTCACTCGCTTCCTTGTTGAGTTTAGCATCTGCTGTAATGTTATCCTCACTTCAAAAATCTCTCACTCTTATTTAGTCTGAAGAGCAAAAAGCTTTGCCAACACAATTTTCTACTTGCTCAATCAAGGCTCCCAAGTCCCTCATTTATCTTCCAGCACAAGCTTATCAAAACCATCAGAGCAGCAATTACCTTGATGCTATTAAAACTTCTTTCCTTACTCTCACCCACTACCAAGAACCCTCTTAAAAGTAGAATTCACTTATCTCCAGTCTTATGCTTAAACACCCTCTAACACATCTGCAGCCACTCCTCTCCTTATGAGACACTACCACTACGTGAGAGACACAGGAACACAAGCTGCACTGTGAGCTGCATGGCCAAACAATGGAATTTAACTTTATTATCAGTTTTGTTTATGTTATAGTGCCTTCTAAAGACTTTTTAGAAGCCACAAAATGAAAACAAAGTGAAGCAGGTAAATTAAGGAAGGCGTGAGTTAAAGCCTAAGTAAGTTTCTACAAAACCAGCTGCAAAGATGATGTTCTAGGCAGTATAGCCATCAGTATCAAAGCTTCATAAGAACCAAATATAATGTATGAAAATTATAAAGATTTATTTTTGGAAGAGACCTATCTTACTTACCATTGGTACTGGAATGCAAAACTGTCTGCTAGGGTTACAAGTTTGAGCTCCAGATCCCGGGTTCTGTAAATTTAAATGAAAAAGTATTTGACCATGTTTTTTGATTTTGCTACTCAATCTAAAACTTTATTTCCTTGAAGATTGAAAACAAGAGTTTCTTACAGAGCTATATGATAGGGGAGTCAACATTTCTGTTGTATATTCACAAATACTAGTAAGCTAGGCATTTCAGTTCAGTGGGACAGCAGGAATCCTGTACTTTCTACCAAAACATATGGTAGACATCAACATTGTTTATAGTTAGCAGGCAATGCTCCTGAGGCAGCACCGGAAGCAGTGGGAAAGTAACAAGAACCAGAATCCCTGTGGTATGCTTTCAATCAGAGGTAACGTACACGAAGTTTTAGGCTAAATTGAAAATACAACAGTGTTAGTAGATGTTTTGTGAAGAGGAAGAAGGTATTTCTACAAAGGTACTCACGGCTATAAAATTTTAAAAGGCAAAGTATAATTTTAGTAAGAAAATATAAATAGCCTCTCTTTATATTAGAAGATGTGGAATTAATACATAAGCATCAAATGTTAAACCTGAGCACATGTTGTAAGAGTTGCTTGAAACCTTGTAACTCGATCAAATTCCACCCATTAAATGAAAACCAACAACAAAACCCCAGAAGTTCAAATTAGTGTATACTGTGTAAAAGGCAAATTCAAGATGACAAACACACTTCACTGGTTTTACAGTAATTCTGATAGATCAGTTATTACAGTAATCTAACTCACAGTAAATTTTAAATTAAAAATGCCCTCCTATTAATGGAAATTTTCTAGTCAGCCTCAAAAGATAAGGAGAGAAGGCAAGAGGACACACCTATAGATTGGGAACAAAAACACAAACAGCAAGTCCTTGAGACATCTTCAGTACATTCACACTGGAAATCCTGCAACATCATTTCCAGGATAGGCTCTATCTACTTTATCAGAAGCTGCCTATTGAAGGTGTTCTGTATTTCCCCACCCATCATCACTGGGGAATAAAGACGTTCCTCTTAATAATCCATTCCTAAAGATTCTTGACAATTAGGTAGCACTGTATTAAAGTTCTGTATTAAAGAACAGAAATTCCTCTCGTTTCCCTTCCTACCGCCACTCTCAAGCAACAGCCAACTGAAACTGAGCTGAAATTCACCTGACTCCTTTATTTTATTGACAGAAAATGACGGAACTATGTGGATTTCCCTTGTTTACATAAGTTTAACTGAGAAATTTGAATCCATAGCCAATTTAAAATTACAGCCTACAAATTTAAAAATACATATATTTTATTTTTTAAATCGCACTTCTAGGAAAACAGATGTTACTGATCAATTAAACTTCACACAAAATATCATTGATTAGTAAACTACTCCAGGAAAAACAGTCAGCTGAGATGATTTTACAGCACTCCTCAAGCAGCAATCAATGAAGAATTGTACAAAATCCGAAAATCCACCCCTAATACCACATTGTAATTACTTTCAGTTTTGGTGAAAGATTTTCACAGAATCACAGGATTATTAAGATTGGAAGGGACCTCTGGAGATCATCTATTTGAATGGTTCTAATGGAACCCCGTTTGGACACATTCCTGGGTGACTGCTGGCACTGACCCAGCCCAGGCAGGGGGTTTGATGTCTCCAGAGGGGAAGATTCCACAATCTCCTCTGTTCCAGTGCTCTGCCTCGCTGCTTTTCTCCTGAAAGAGCAAGGCATGACCAGCACCTCAGCAAGCCGTAGGCCTCTCTGAGCAAGCTTCAGCTCTGTTCTGTAGTCCACCTTTCCCCTTTTCTCCCTTCAGTTTCTGCTTGGTACAGACAATGGTGTTAGGACTATAAATGCTCATATTCAGATAAAGGGGAACCCTTATTAGCACAGTAATTAATAACTACCAGTAATCCTATAAAGTAGTAACAGTATTCATTATTTACTAAACACTGAATGTCTTAGCACGCAATGTCATGTAAGGGAGAAAAGGGGGAAAAACCCAGTACTTCCTCATCACTGTGAATTTTAATGCATGAACAAAATCAGGATCCAATTGTGAGGACACTGCAGACACTGCAATACTAAAAATGGAGAGGACCAATATTTCCTTTGGGATGCAGAAAGATGAGAGAGCAACAGACAAAAGCATCTATTAATACATACCCACATAAAGCTCATCAACTGTGCTCATTATAAAACTTACAAAAAGTAAAAAAAATAAAGAACCACTGTCCCCTAATTGTTTCCACTCTTGCTTCCATACACTCGTTTAAATTCTTTAACAAAACCAATGCCTTAGTGCAGCTCCTTCGTAGAATTGCCTGGCTAAAAAGCTCTGTTAGGGGGTAGCAAAGGACACTGCAATTGAGGGGGAGAGGACAAAACTGCTGGACAATAGACGTGTGAAAAATCAAAGAAAGGGTAACCACAGCTATGAGCAACCACGTCTTCAGCAGTGAATCAGCTTCCCGACCAGGCAGCGCTTCCAGAAAGCCAGAAGCGCCCGACGCGGCGGCAGTGACACGGCCGTGACTCGTCCCCAGCCCGCCGGACGGACGGGCGGCCCCGCACCGCCACAATCCCCGCCGGGAGCCAATCCCGCCCCGGCTGCCTCCCCTCGCCCGCAGCCCTCTCCTTCCCGGCCGGGCCTGCCGCGACACCCGCGGCGGCGCCCGCACAAAGGCAAGCATTCCCTCGGCGGCGGCCCCTCGGGAGCCCCCCGGGCAGCCCCCCCGCCGCCACGTCCGTCGCGGCGGCTCGAACAATGCCCGAACCTGTTGCGCGGGTTCCCCCGGGCCGCACCGAGCGTCGTGCCCTGGCAGGCGAGCGGCGCGCACGGCGGGGCAGCGAGCGGGAGCGGGGCGAGCTCGCAGCCGGGGCCGCTCTGCAGCACGGCCCCACCGCTCGGGAGAGCCGGAGCCGCGGCCGCACGGCAGAGCAGAGCGGAGCGCCCCGCCCGGGAACAAAGCGCGGCCAGGCCGCAGGGCCTGCGCCGCCCTCCGCGGGGCTGGGGCCGGGGCAGAGCCGCTCCGGAGCGCGGTACTCACCCGATGCGGCGCTGCGGGTGCCCGGGGCTGGGAGGGCGCGGGGCGGAGCCTGGACCCGCCCGCTCCGGCCGGGCTGCGGCGGCGAACCTCGGCCGCCTCGCACCGCCTCGCTAGCCCGGCGGCAGCCCCTGGGGACGGGGGCGGCTCCGACCCCTCCTCCGTCGGCAAGGAGACGGCGAGCGCCGGGCGCTGGCGGGCCCGCCCCGCTCCGCTGCCCCGCTCAGCGCCGCCCCCGCCCCGGGCGCGGAGCCTCCCGCCCGCCCCGCGCGGAGCCGCCGCGGCCGCTCGGCCCGAGCCGCCCCGCCCCGGCCGCCGGCACACAATGCGGCCCGGCCGAGCAATGCGCCCGCGGGCCGACTCCGCAGCTACGGACGGCGTGATAAACACCCAGAGTGGGACAAGCGGCGGTCCGTCCGACTGCCGAGTTTGCAGCGCTGGCAGCCGCGTTAAGGTAACAGTACTGCCGCTCTGCTCTGTGGAGAGACGCGCTGTGCGAGCTCATTGCGAGCCCAGCGGCTCCCAGGTGAACGTGCGAGTGCCTCAGGCAGGTGTCGGCTGCCGCAGGGCCGTTCATCACCAACACTTGAGCACTCACAGTATCGCAGAATATCCTGAATGTAATCACAGAATACCCTGACTTGGAAGGGACACACGAGGATCATTTAGTCCAATTCAGCACTGACGTGTGTATTTTGTTTCCCCTCCGATGGCAGATAATAACCCATTGTCTGTCTAAGCTCCTAGACAAACACCCTAAAACTCTGTAATGCCAAGATTAAAATAATAGAAGCAAAAATGCAGAAAGAAATTCTGTGAAGAAAGCTGGCTGGGACACTTGCCTTGCATTCAGCCTAACCACTCTAGGATAGATTGGAGTCTTGAGTCTCCTAGCTGAATACATCATTAGGTAACCTAATGGCTCTTAAAAAAATTGGCTTCTGCAAACTCTATCTTAATCATAATTTTGCTCCTGGTTTTTCCAGAGCAGTTGAATATAATTTACTGAATGTCATTCTGAATGTGAAAACTGTCTCACAGAGTCTGCAACTGCTTCGTCTTTCCCTCAAAACAAGAGTTTGCAGAACCACCTCTGTTCACCGCCTTTCCTGGTTGCTGTCCAGCCAACATCTGCTGCAGCCATCGCCCTCACCATCACCATCGGGGCTCGCCTGTGGCACTGAGCTCATCCCTGGCTGCTGTTCACTCACAAAGCTGTCCCTCTCTCAGCAATACCACCCACTGGACATGCACGAGCTAAAGATATTGTCATTCAGATTTTCAGATGAGGCCTGCCGGCCTTGAGAACATACCTTGTCTGTTGGGCCTTTCTTTCCTGGAAGAATACTTAAAACAGCAGCAGCAAAGAAAGAGGAAAGGCAAAATTACTTCCTTCACAACCTGTAGAGATAAACAGAGATAAATTACCTCCATCAGCTTCTCAAGAAAAGTAATTGCTTAACAGAACCAAATAAATTATTTTTTATTTTATGAAAAGAGGAAAACTTTAGCACTATTTTAAGTGTGTTCACTAATGATTTAAGAATGTGCCAGATAGAACTTTTAGATCACTCTTCCCCATTTATGCTTATTACATACTTGTGGGCAAAAGTTGAGATAATAGAAGCTTTCACTATTCATCAATATTTACTTCAGATCCCTCAGGCTGCATCTTTGTAAGCTCTTACTGGAGGACAAATAGTAATTCAGAACACTAGGTAAGTGATCTGTCGCCCAACACATGTGAAAGCTCAGTGGGAATCGCTGACATATCTTTAAAAGGAGAAAGACAAAAATCAACAAAGGAAAAACTACAGCTGATTGTCATACATGAATTTCTCTTTCTTATTTCACATGTCTAAGATCCTCCACAGTGCAGTTATTACACTCTGTTATGTTATTACGCTCTGTAATGTTATCTATATGCAGTTATTACACTGATATTCCTATCACATAGTCTATACTATAGAGTGGGTGGTTTTGCTTTGCCTTGTAAATCTCAAATTTTCAGTACACATGAACTCATTAATACTAATAAATTTTCTTATGGTTACTTTTGAGAGAGGAGAAGAGTGGGAGAGAGAAAAGAGAAGGGAGAGGCAAAGGAATTCAGGCCAAAAGGACATAAACCCTATTTCTCCATTTTTCTGGTGTTAACTGGAGTCTTTTCTCAAGGTCAGAACAAGGCCTCTCCTGCAGAGGAGGGACAGAATTCTTGCAGTGCCTTCCATAAGACAGAAATACCCAAAAGTCACTCATTTGTACTCTGGTTGGAAATATACTAGTGTAGATATAAAGACATTGCAACAGATTTTCTGACTTTTGTTTTCCATGCATACTCTTCTGATGAGTTGCCAGGACAGAATCTGACACAATTAATTTTTTTAAGGTCATGCCATCAGTTTAGAGTTGTAGTTAATTGCCTTTCCATGCAAACTGCCAGTAGGAAGAAATCAGAGTATCAAGGATCCATTTGATTAAAATGACCCTTAATATATGGTGTTATTCTCCAGCAGCTGTGCCAGATTAACTCAAACACAAATGAAAGCAAATAGGCTGAAAACATCCCGAGCTTTGGGCACTGTGCTGCGTGCCAGCACAACAGAGCCTTTGTTACAAGGCAGAGCAGAGCTCTCACAACAGAGTTACTGCTTCCAGCTTCAGTCGTTGCTCTTCTAGAAAAATCAGCCTTCAAAGAAAAACAAACAAAACCCCCATACACTTCTACTGGACACCAACTCATGGTGGCACTGGTCACACAAATGTGACTCTGGCCATCCTGTGTAGCACCCCACAGGCTTGTGATACACCTTCCCTCTTGCTCCATTTGCCCCTGGGCAAGGGAGGTGCTGCCAGGCATAGCCTTGCACCTGGTGGGCTGGAAATCCTCCACCTGGAACGATTTACCTTGCTTGCTATTTGCATCCACATCTCCCTGCAAGAGACAGGCAATTGATTTCACTTGTAGCACAAAAATGAATGTGAGCAGTAAAATTAATGTAAGCCAGCAGCATCCAGTGTATTGGCAAGAGATGTAACTTACAGAGCAGACTAGTTCATAAAAGGTATATACTGAAAATAAGCAAATAACTACATGCAGTGGGGTAAGTATAGACTGGCAGCAATGATTGTAAATAAAAGCTGTGGAATGTTTTCCATATGGAGCTTTCTGATCATGACAAGATGGTATCATCATACTCACAGGTAAGGAGAGGCATGTACCACTTTAAAACCTTATGCATTTGTCATACAGCCAGAATCATGTTGGAAAAACAGCGAAAAAAAGCCCCTTCTATGAGGACAAACAGTATCAGGAGGTTTGGGAAGTGAAAGTGACAGAAAAATACAAGCATTCAGTGCACACTCAAAACATCACAGAAACAAACAAAAGATCTGTGAAATTCAGTACATGACCTACCATTCACTGGCTTCTGAAGGTAAGCCACATTCACCTATTATCAGTGAGATTTGAAATACCCCTTTAAACACAAATACTAGGTTTTAATCCTGAACTGAGGAGTGATTGTTTCTCCTGAAACAATTACAACAAAGCCTTAAATTGTGCTCTTAATAGAATTTGAAACTCGAGTCCCACATAGCCCAAACCCATGAGATTTTGTTTACTGACTAGCACAGGCTGAAAGCCTGGCACTCTGTGTAGGCAGCACTAGCAGGTTTTGAAGGATCTGTTTTATTGTACTTATCAGAGGGTGTGTAAAACAATATTTTAAAAGCTTCATCATGATTTCGACGTTCTTCAGTTCAATTATATATAAAAAAGATAAACCCTTCATTTCATCAAGGTATTAATGATATGCCTGTAATGAGATAAGCAGTATGAAACTTTGCAAAATTCTGAAGAATCTGGAGTGTTTTGTGGGTTTTTTTCATGTGCTTCTTAATGTTCAGGTAGAAACAATAAAGTATCCCTGGATCTCATCATGTCCTTCCAAGTACTGGAGGCTGTTGGGTTGTCCTTCCTGCAGCAAACTCAGTAGTGACTTTGTTACCTTTTTTAGTTACTCTTTATTTTCTGTGAAATACAGTCTTCATAACTTGGTCTTGTATAAAATAAAATAGAAGCTTAAAGGCTGCATTTCCTGAGAAATATTTAAAAGTAAGCAAAGCTATCTGTGCTTAGTCTTTTGCTTCTCAGATTTCTTAAATATGAAATTTACATATTTTCCTTACAAATTTATTTCATCTTGCGAAGGGAAAATGGTTTATGGCTGGCAGTAGACCCCGAGCATTTTTGATACAAGGGGGAATGCCTTCCTTTCTGCACAGCACCTGACATAATAAGAAAGCCACTTCTCATGTCCTTCCCCTGTGGGCACAAACATGACCTGGGATACAAGGGCAGGGATCCTAGAAGGTACACAGCAGCAGAATGGAGATGGGCATGTCTCAGGTCATGTTTGTGGCCACAGGGGAAGGACATGAGGACCAATTTTCTTGTTCTGTTTGGTGTTTGTGCCATACCACTGAGCAGGTTTGGTGGGATGTCTGCAGCATACTCTGTCTCCCAGTGCCTCAATCTGATCAGGGATTACTGCTGGTGTTTGCTGAAGAAGAGGAGCTGTACTTACCATACTTGTTATCACATGAGGCATAGCAGATGTGAGAAGACGTGACTCTGAAATACTCACTGTAGAGGTAAAACATAGAGAGAGCTGGTAGGCAATGACATTTTGAATGACTCCTCTGCAAAGCATCTAATATTCTCCTGGAACCATATCTGCAGCTCCATGATGCATTCTTCTGCTTGCACCACAAAAAAGGAAAGAACAGGGATTTTTCTAACGAGACTCAATCACCATCTCCCTGCAGCTGCCTTGCTCTTCAGCCATGGAGTGTATTAGCACTGCAGAGGCAGCCACACTCAGTACCACCACCATTTCTGCTTACATTAGATTTACATTTCATTTCCAGCTTCAAAATTAACTATTAGCAAAATGCTCACAGCATAAAAGAGGTTAGATGTCAATGTTGGTCAGGGATTGAGAATTGGGTGTCCTGTACTGTACCTGTTACTTTGTGTGGTCTTAGAAAAGGGGAAGACAAAGACAGCTTTACAATTTTTGTGTGCATTATTGTGTAATTCTACATTTTAGCACAGTTCTGACATGGTGATGTTACCAAGGACCTTCTTGAGATAAAACCTCATTTCTTTAGAGGGCCATAAGGAGAGTGTTTGGAAAGAGGATAAACTGAAAGGAGTTTCCCAATAATAGCCTTTTCTCTAAGCCTAAATAAATCTTCTTTCTACATTGACAAAAACTATTCATTTATACAAATAAGTAAAGGTTCTGCATAGGTTCCTCTTCATATTGCTTGAGTTTCTTACATTACAAACAACAGCATGCTTCAAGGTTAGGTTATACACTAACACTAATCACAATCATTGTTAGCAAAAGTGAATTGAAAGAGGATAAATAATATGAGCTATTTTTAGAGGCAATAAGAGGCAGAGATCTTCACTTTCAGAGAAAAGTAATTTTTAGGAGTGAGTTGCTGAGCTGGTTGAAATTCTTCTCTGTATCTGTATAGATGTCCTTAGAGCTACCTGACTTCATAGTTTATTATGTACATGTAGAAGCTTTAAATTGCAACCCTTTGTGTCAAAAAGAGCTTATTTTATAGAGATTCAGTGTTATTTGATGTTCAATTACTCAATATTCACTGTTCACCCAGAATCAGACATTCTCTTCAAGACAGGGAGAATATCATGGCTAAAAATCCAAATATTTTTCCAAAGAAAGTAATTATAACCTGTAGCTATAATTAAAAAATGAAGCATCTCGGAATGCATGGAGTATTTTTCTCACTGCTTTATCAAAACTTGTGTGTGCAAGCTTTTCTTTAATGCATTTTGAAAGGGTAATTTCCAATATAATGAAGTATGTTTATCCTTAACAAATTATTTCTGAAATCTTTGTCAAAATGGCAAGGATTTTCAAACACATCCAAAAGCCTTGGGAGCCTAATCACAGTACATGTTTCTAATCCACATAGGTGTTTTAAAATCCCACTGATTGATCCTTGTTTTGTTGGGTTTTTTTTGCATAGTTCACAAGTAGTTTGTAAAACTCTTCCTGTACCTTTTTTTTTTTCTGCACAATTGTGGGCAGTCAGGCTGCAATAGTTATCTTAGTCATGGAGGTCACAAACAGGTTGTTAAAGTCATTCAGGCCACCTGGAGAATAAAGTGCAATTTAAATGGAATTTGAGTAATACTGTCTAATCCAAAGTGCTGATAATTTTCCAGTCTGAGGCAAGTATTTCTTGAGCGTGTCATCTTTAGAGTATTTGGTGTTATACAATAACTAAAATTTGGATGCAACTGCTGAGTACTAAATTAGGTACTTGGCACTTTGTCTTCTAGTACATGAACATAATTTCAGAACAGCTCATACTGAGAGAGAAGAAAATAGGGCAGAGATTAGTAAAATCATGCAACAATTTTTACTTAATAAGGTAATACTGAAAACCCTTGATAAAAACAAATATTGTTAAAGAATATTATCATATACTAAGTTACTCTACATAAAATTTTGCAAAATGTGGAAATTTACATTTCTATATGTAAAAAAAAGATAAAACTCCCTTCCCTTAGAGACTCATAGCAAATTTTATATCAGCAAATGATCCTTTCTAAAGAGAAGATAGTTAAAATCCCTCATATTCTTCCCATGTACCAGGGAGCAGATTGAAAACGCAATGTACTATGAATTAAACTCTCAGTTTTCTTTATCCTGACATAGCAGCAGATTGTCCTGATGAACCTTCCTTCTTAAAATTCACGAGCATGCTAAGCTTATGCAGTCCAAACCAGTATGTTTTAAACCTTCTTTAGGATAAGCAGGCCCCCGATGTTTTCACTGCCTGGCCACCTACAAGCCCTCGCGGAAGGAGGTCCCTGAGCCTGCAGGTTGTTGTCACCAGTGCAAGTGCCCACTCTTCTGTAAACCCTCCTCAGCACCTCTCCACCTGAATGGAGCCCTTTTCTGGACTCAGACTTGCTGGCCTGCCTAGTGCCTGGAGTCTACACTTCAGTGTTGTGCCATGAGGGAAGCAAGCAGCCTGCTCAGCTTGGCCTCCTGCTAACAGCAGAAACTTCATTAAGCATTTATTTCTCTGTTTAGGTTTCCTCCCTGCCTCTCCCTCCTACCAAGCACGGTCTGGGTTTGCTCAAAGGGCTCTCAATGCACCCATTCTGCCTGCCTATGCCTCTGTTGGTACATGTCTCTCTAAAGAGGCTTTCCTCCATGGGGGGCCAGCTCAGACACACTTTGATAAGCCCTAACTTCACTTTCACCTGCCCTTCTTGCCACTGCTTTTTGTTATGCATTTTAACTTGCGCTGTCACACAGTGAGCTAGGCTGGAGAAATAACTAAGATCAAAACCAGCTTCTTTTCCTCCTTACAAAGTTGATTTATCCAGCACTTTCCATCAAAGGAAATATTCATCAAAATCTAGCCTAAGTTAAAAGTAAATCCTTCCTGGTAAGTCATAAATGCCCTTCCCTCACAGTACTCAATCGGTCCATTGTGCCTTTCCTGCTATCAATCTTTCTCTTCAAACATTTTCCTGCGGCAGGTTACACCTATGCTGTGATATTTAGTAACACAGAAATGCTTTGACATCAACCAGCATTTCTCAGTTGCACAAACATTACCCTGAAGTTATGTACAACTCCTTCCTTCATTCTTTTTAATTTTCAACCCATTGTAAGAAATTAAACCATTTTTGATAGAACAGGAAGAAAAGTCTTTTCATAATTCTTGTTTCAGTCCTGCTGAGCCTCATCAGTACAATTAGTGTTCTTGTTTGAAGTTGACTACTTATGTATATGAAGTTGCTTGTTTCAGTAAAATATTTGCAGAAATAGACATACTTTTAGCACCAGAGTGCAAATCTTGTATAGGTTGCCTCTGGTGACAAGGAGGCCTGTTCCTCTCAAGCATTTCTGTAGCTCCACTGGCAGTTTTGAGCTTTAGATCACCCATAAATCATATAAGTATACAAATTATATAAGACTTAAAAGCATATTTCCATTTATCAGCAGTCTTTTGGAACAGCACAATGAGCTGAATGAAAGATGAGTCAAACCAACAAACCTGTCTTTGGATACCTCTGCTCTGTAAAGCATCCATTTGAGTCCAGACCCAAGCTGTTCTGACCAAAGGCAGTTTACCTCCAGAGCCAGTGTGTAGGATCCCTCTCAGATGACAACTGAAAATGTGTGGCATTTCTCTGCTTCTCACAGGGAGCAGGATGTGGATATGCAGTTTGGAACATTCACAGCAGTTAACCTGCAGCAAAGCAAAACAGAAAACAAATAAAACCCTCCCTAAGCATTATTTTTGTCATACTTGGTAAATAAAAAATTATGTTTGGGTTTAATCCAGATTATGTTTTAAAATTTCCCCCCTTGAATAAATGTAAAGTTTTTCTGTTCTGCATATTAACTAATATCTTTATTTTTATCAGTGGCCACCATGCATTTTTTCAATTACTTTTCTAGACTTCCCTGTCAGAGTATGGCTCCCAAAATTGTTAACAAACTACAGTATCCTAAGTGCTGAATTACTATACAATCTGTTAAAAATATAATCTCCATTTCTAATTTCAGGTTTAAATGCAAAAGGATAGATTTTTCTCACCACTTCACAAAAATCTATTTAAGACTCTCTGTTAAAAGAATTGGAAATAAATTTTATAAAAGATGCAAAATATTTACCATTTGTTGCAGTAAAAGGATTGTGCTTTTTAATGAGACCATATTCTCATTTTCATTATTATATTAAAAATAAACATTACCAATAATATATATATAATAGTCATAACCAAGTTACATCCAATCATAAGGAAACTAAACAATCTAATAGAAGCATTTTATTTTGACATAATTAAATCAATAAAGCAGCTCTGTATATTGGTAATGAAAACAGGATGCGCACAATTATCTTCCAAATAATTATAATATAAAAATCATACTTTTTTTTTAATTCTAGCTATGAAACAGTATATGCACTTTCTTGCCAAGAAATTTCACATCTTTTTTGCTCTAGAGGGAAATTATTTCATAGTGGTTTTGATAGCTTAGGCATCTGTATGTCATTCCAGCAAAAAATCACTTTCTTTTTATTGACCTAGAGGTTTTCAGTAGCTCAGAAAAAGTAGGAGACTGCAAAAATGTTAGCACAGGAGGAAAGGGAAACAGTAATTATGGCCATATTACTTGTGAACTGCACAATAAAATAAGGCTGATATTTGTTCAACTTCCATTAAAATAGCTATAAATGAAAGTACTGCACCAGCTTAATGAAGATTTTGTTTATTTGGGTTGTTTCAAATGAGGAATAAAAAATATATAGCTTTACAGCAGGAGAACTGCAGTGGTGGAACCTTGTGCACAGGAGAGAGGAAGGTGTGCTAATCAGCTTCATATCCTATTCTCAGAACCCTGATAGAGCAGCTAAGTGATAATCCTTTCCTGTGCAGCACAGGAAGATATCACTTTCAATCTGGACATCAGTATGAGAGGTGTAATGACAATCCAGAGCTGGTGCTGATAATTACAAAGCTAGAGGGACTGATTTATGAGGAAATGGCGTTGATTAAAATTTGCATTTAGAGGACTTTGTGTGAGAGCATCACAGCGCTGTGCTGGTGTTAGACCAACATTTTCAAAAGCAAGCATGAAGGGGCTGCTGTGCTCCTGGGGCCTCTGGGAGTCAGCAGGTTTTCTGAGCAGGTGTTCAACAAAGCCAAAGCCTGCTGAACACCCTTGTGCTAAATACTCTGGGAGGAAGTGGTGGGGATTTAGTTGAAGCACCAGACACATTACTTTTATTTGTAAAAACGGCTCAGGCAGCCACTTCACTTTGTTTCCAGCCAGGTGCCTCTGATTTAAACAGCTCAAAGGCATAAATAAAGTGACAGGAGTGAAGGGTCATTAGAATTGTATAGACACTACTGATAGTTCAGCAGATTGTGTACTTGGAACCTCTAACAGAAAAAAAACAAAACAAAAGCTCTTTGCCACTACTTCCCCTAAAACCTCAGGAATAAAAGAAATTGAGTGAATATGAATGGCACTGTAATATATGAAAGAATGCAGAAAGAAAGAAGTGGCTGTTGAGATGTTTGGATGAAACTGAAATTGGGAATTGCAATTCAAAGGGTAGTTATAGCTGTCGAGTCACATTCACCACCAGAAGCACTACCAGAGTGGAAAGAGGAGATGCAGGTATGTGATTAAATATAAGATATATCCACACTCTCAAAATGGTGAGTGAAATTCACTGTGAACTCACCATGATTTTACCAAAAACTGCTTGGAATACAAACATTTACCCAGAGGATGAACTTGAGAAGGACCTGAAAAAATAAATAATTTAGGGATCAGCCAGGCTTCTGACAGATTTATGCTGCACATTCATGCTCCCATGGTTTCTCCTACCCCCACCAGCAAATACCTCCTGTTCTCCCCCTTGTTACACAGAGCTGCAGGAGAAACGTTGAGATTGTGGAGAGTGGAGAAAGAATGGGAGTGCCTGGAACAAAGGGCAGGAGAGGACATACATTGTTGGAAGGCAGATTAGTGGGTCAGCAGGATGGCAGCAGACTGTGCAGCTTACAACCCAAGTTCGGAGACAAAGGAGAGTGAGTGAATCCTGATGACTCACAGGGCTGGGACAGGAGGGAGAGACTGAGGACTGTCAGCTCCTAAATGGGGTACAAAAGGCTGATTCCAAATCAGCACATGGAACTCATTGATGAGACTGGAGAAACTAAAGAAAAGCTCAGCATGCAAATGCAAATCAGCTCAGCTAACAGAAGAAAGGAAATAATATCTGCCATAAAATTAGAAAGGTATTGTAGAGCCTTTACATTGTTTTCCATGGCTTATTCTGTGGAATAACTAATTTGTATTAATGGAAATGAAGGCATTGCAAAGCATTATGAGATAACCTTGGAGAAGGAGAGCTCAGCCTCAGCACACAGTAGTCCTGTGCAGTGAGATGGGTTTATGCCCTAACACAGGACCAAAGGCAGCTGACTTGGGAATAAGCACATAAAAAGACTTAATGCTGCTGCTGCTAGTAATTATAGTTTGCTTTTATTTTGAAGCAGATGCATATAGGTCATTTCTTTGGTGAAATACATACTTCAGTAATAATTTTCAAATCTCTCAGGTTCTCATAATTTAACCATTGTTAATTATTTAGCAATTATGCTGATGAAAGGTTAAAAATTATTGCAGAGGCATTTCTTCAGTCAGGGAAAGGAGTAATGGTTTAAAATTAAATCCTTGCAGTTGGTGCTAAATGGTAATGACACGCTATTTTTTTATTACTGGAAGTAACAGTTGATCACTTAGAAACTTCATCATTGGAAAGTGGTCTAGAAAAGTATGGTGAGCTAAATAACAGACAAGCATTTCCACTGAGAGATTAGTACATGGCAGAGACCTATAGAAATACAGTTTGCAAATTAATATCTTGAGGATCACTGAAAAACCACAATGTGAAGTTAGTATGTTGGGGCTTAAGCATTAAGTAGGCAGAGACTATAGATAGGAGTATTAAGAAAAACTTTACCTGTCTAAGAAAGAACAAGGTGTATTTTCATGCATTAGTAATGCAGCAAGTCATGCATATTGAAAGGAAAAATAAGTTATGTCAATAGGAGGTGTAGTACCTTTTAAAAATCATACCTGAACTACCAGTTAGTTCTATTAAATTTCAGACTTCTTTCTCGTATTTTGTGAAATTTAGCATAGTTTAAGGACTATGCTAAGGTAATTACCATGTCCTATCAGCCATTTCAGATTTCAAAAATTAAAATTAAATCTATTTAATTTCTCCCACAAACAATTGCTACTATCCAGGGTTCACAGAAAAGACTACAGTTCATGATTCCTTCCCCTCTTTAAACAAAAGCCAGAACAAATGAGCCAAGCCTTAGGGCTCAAAATGAATAACTCCAGAACATCTCAGAGTAAGAGCAAGAAAGCATCTAAAGCCATCAGAGATCCCTCTGAAGAATGTCCTGCCAAGCACCCACATTTAGAATGAGGAAGGTGCATTATAAGCACTTTTATCAATTGCATCCCTGACCCCAGAGGAAAGGAGAGGGGAGGAACGTAGCCTGCTCACACAAATTGATCTCAAATTGCCAATCACTTCTGGTGCCTCATTTTAGACATAAAATCTCACTGAAAGATAAGCCACTCTTTTGGGTATGGCAGAGGCATTTAACATAATTCTGCATGCTGTAAACAAGAGTGAGGCAATTGATGACCTTGTACGTGTTAGAACAGCTAGAGCATGTGCTCAGCCTGTAATGAGAGGAGAGGTATCAGCTCATATAATCTAAGTAAGAACAAATTTGAAGATTCAATGATGCTTTGCAGTATATGAAAGTATTTAGCAGTATATGGAATTTCTCAAACATTTCTGAGTATTTATTAGAGCTTAGCATCAAAATTTAACTGCAAAAGAAACAACAGTTTCCTAATATTTTAGGAAATACCGTGTTTATGAAGATGGGGAAGTATAACCATTCTGTCAGGTTTTTACTGACAGCAAAAATATATGGTTTCTAAGTTTAGAAGTCTGTAATAAACACCAGCTTAAATTTATGCCCTGGAACTTGAAAATATAAAACTAAGTGAAGTAATTATTCCCATTTGCAATTGGCAGATGAACTTAAATATTAGAAAAATATTTCACTGAAGCAAGGAGGAAGAAAGCAGTGAGGGAGAAGGGAGGTATTTAATACATACCCACTTCTTTCCAGCAGTGCAAGCATATAATGTATAGTCCTCGTTCATCTCTCGTGCTGGGACTGTGGCTCTTATTCTCATCCTGTGGCAACACCTCAGTCCTGCAGGGTAGAGCAGCTGGGCTGGGGGGATGTGTTCCCTACCCTGCTGAGGAGCAAGGCCCGCAGCTCCTGCAGTTCCATGGGTCCCCAGCTGATCCTTAGTTGCCATCTCTGCTGGTGATGCCAACCTGTTGCCTCGGCTGCCCCCTCACTTCAATTGTCCTGGGCAGTTCCAAGCTCACCTGGGTGATCAGTGCTGCTCTGCTGCAGGCTCCTGCTCCTCAGCTCCCTCTGCTCTCCAGCATGTTTGCTAACGCTCAGGGCCGCACAGGGGTCAAAGGAGGCTTGCTAAATAGACTTCCTAGCCTGCCTTGAATATTGCACCCTGAACCACACTTACCCCAGCTGATTTGTCCTCATGAGTGCTGGGGATTGCAACTGCACAATTTCACTCATGCTACGATTCATCTGCTATTACAAAGGGAAATATCTCACCTTGTACACCAGCAGCAAACTGTGTCTCAGAGCCATCCCTTTGCCTCTCTCCTGTTGCCAGATATTAACAGTTCTGCTCCTCTTCTGGCAGGAAGGCAGCTCTTCCCTTCAGGCCACAGCCATCAGGACTGCATTTGTCTTAAATGAGAGAAAACTGTAGACAGTCTTCCTGGTTCTTTCTTGAAACAGCAACAGAGCAGATAAAAATCAATGGGTTGACTGAAACCTTATGTGAAGATAAGCTGTGGTGCAGATTAAGAAAGTAATTTCCGTCATAATAGTAGAGTTATCATAAGATTTCATTGCTTTTACTGAAAACTTTCTGCTGCATTTGTATGAATAAGGGTAATTTCTTTTAAGCTGAGTTGTGCCTGTCTGTTTCCTCTGTGATTTCTAATATCCAGAGTTTCAGGGCAAATATATCTGAACTGCACCATACCCTTCCTTTTCTGTTTGAGCTTGGTTTGGAGTTTGTTGTTGTTGTTTCTTTTTCTCATTGGGTTTTTTTTTGGTTGGTTTTTCGTTGGTTGGTTGGTTTTTTGGGAGGAGTGGTTTGGTTTTTTTGGTTTTTTTTTTTCTTTTTGTGAGGGGTTGTATTTGGTTTGGGTTTGCTTTTTTTGTGTATGAGATAATCTAAAGTTCCTCAAAGTTCTGACAGACTTTTTTAAAGTATTTGTCTGTTTCTCCTCTGAACATATCCTCCGTTCTTACTGATGCTCAAAAATTCCCACCCATTTTTACTTTAGAAACCATTCCCACTTGAGGTTTGTGAATTTTTTGCAGCATGGTTTGCTTGGGTTTTTTTTGGGATACAACAACAACAACAAAAAAAACCAAACCTAGTTACACATTATGTGGGAGATGTTAGACATTAGTGACTTGTAAGTAGCACTGTTGTTCTGGGGTCATCTAAAGCACATACAGGTGCAAATAGCAGTTTCAGGTGAGGTTTTTACATTATTTAATTTATCTGTGTAAACCTGTTTTAGAAGGCATTTTCCAAACAACAAACTAGCAGTACCTGCTGAGAGGCTTCAAGGGTGAGGCAGCAGTCCTAAAATGACCCCCATTTGTAGGAGCATGGAAATTAATGAACCTATATTTCAAGGAAAAATAAGCTCAGACCTCTGTTATCTTAAGCTTGGTATCCATGTGTCTCTGAAGGTCCCTGAGTCTATGAAATTAGCACTGCTGGAAATCAGGAGAGACATCAATATAGTTGGTAAGGAAATCCTCCTCCCCACAATCCTCAGAGCTAGGCTGGAGCAGATCTGAAGTATCCTCTCAGCCCCAAATTACTGTCTAAACACAAACTCCCTGCCAGCACTTTGGAAAAGGTGCTATGAGTTGTGAGTGGCTTTTAATCTACTTTTCTCTCCCCACACACTCTATTCAAACATTTTATATTTGTCTCATAACACATAAAGCTTGACTGCCTTCACAGTATAGAGTGGGGCTGAACTATTTCAAATGCCCACAGGACTTCAATTATTCTCCTTGCCCTTCTGCAGTGATTAATGCTTTGGAAAGCACAGTTGCCCTGGGATGGCTCGAGCAAATACCCACATGTCTGCAGACAGCTGTAAGCAAAGGCAGGAGCAGAATCATTAAAGCTCTGCTGACTGCAGTGCCCAATCAATAATCCATGGCAAGAGCATCACAATCTATACAACATACCGCAGGGCTGACAGTGGTATTGGTAGCAGAGGGATCCCTTAATGCAAATCCAGCTCTGGAAAATTTGGAATTTTGGGAGGTTTGACTTTCAAAGCACCTACTTGTTATCCACGCAGTAGAAATTTGAAAGAGAATTTGTTGGGTGCATTAATTTGGATTGCTCCGTCTCCATAAAACTGGAAGAAAAACTCTACTTGAAAATTAACATGAATATAAATTTTGATGTCATTAAAGAATTAAAAATACACATAAGATTGTCACACAGCCTTTTACTCCCACAGGAGTAAAATCATGTGTGCCAGAAGACTTGTTAAACTGTATCTGCTAAACAAAAATATGAATTACAGAGATGTTGTTATTTTGTAAGAATCCTTCAGACTCATATATTTATCACAAATCTGTAATTCAGTAGCCTAAAACAGAGGGAAGAGGGATTTTCTTTGGTGGGGACCTAAAGGTTGCTTTGAACCCTTGAGCTGCATTTGGGATCAGACCACGGAAACATATCTGCTTGTAGGCAAGGCACTTTCCAGTGTGGTTACATGCAGCCTCATCCTACAAAGATACACATCACTGTGCATCAATGGCACATCAAGGCCTCATGGATTTCCACAGCATAGTTACAGCAGAAATCCTTAGACAATCCTTAGTGTGAAACTCAGTGACTGCAGTGCTAGGTATGGGGCTTATGCATTCCATAACTCTAGTGGTTGTTTTTATTTTATCATTTTCCCATTTTCTATTACTTTAATCTCTTTTCTGATACCATTCTCTCTTTGTTCCCTGCAAAACTATTTCTGTCTATCTAGGTTCCAAAATTTTCCACAATCTTTCTTTCTTTCGCTGCTATTCCTCCTTATTTCTACATATTTTCTCCAATTTCTTCCTTCATAGTTTCCACATTTCTTCTTCCATTAACTTGTGGGTTTTATCCTTTCCCCCCCCTTTTTAGTGGTTCTTAAGTCTCAAAGAGTTGTATGGCTACTTCTTGAGCCATAATAATTTAAAAATAATTCCTTCTTTGCCAGCTCTGTCTCTGCATTGGCCTTAACTATATCTCATTGCTTGGATGTTAATTCATTGTTAGCTTGTAGAGAAGCCAAGCACACTGATAAGTCAAACTCACACATACAAACAAAGAAACTCCAATTAGATTCTTTAGCTGTAACCAATAATTTAACACCACACTGATTAGGTTTTAAGAACAGACTCCTGATAAGCACAAGAAGTCTTCCTGGACACCTCTTCTACCAGTTATCTTTTGCTTGAAGTCTCCTCAGAGTACTCACATATTTTTCTGATAAGTGCATCGTCTGTCTGAAACGACTGGCATTTCTACAAACATATTTGCTCATGGAATGACAGCCACAAGCAATTCTGATAACACTAAATTAGCAGGAGACTGAAAATAATGTGCTTGTCAAACACCTTCCCCCCTCCCTTTCTCTCAATGTTCAGGAAAGGGAATGCATTTTTTCCTCCTTTACTTTTCTGTGATTTGCATTTTCATTTGCTAAGTGTATTACAATGTCCTGTTTATCTTGGACTGCAGCATCAAGATCTTTGTACATCTCATTCCCTCCAGTAATTTCCCAGGCAAGTATTTCCCCACTGCACCTATTTGCTAAACAAAGACAAAAGATTTCTCTAATGTAGAAAAGTAGCAACGGTCCTCAGAGAAAGCCAAAATCTTTCTAAAGAATAATTAATCTTCTGGAAACAATTCAACAGAATGACATTGTGTGTGTGAACATGTGTTAGCAAGAAATAAAAGTTTCAAATCCTATAGGCTCTCTCCTAGTTGATTTGAATAATCAGAAAAAAATCCCCAGTTCATCACATTTCAGGGTTCTCATACACCATTAGTTCATGCCCCCTCCCAGGATCTGTGGAACACTAAACCCTGAGAGCCTTCTTAAATTGTTCCCCACTTCCAAGCACTGTATTCTTGGGGCTGGGAAGCAAGATTACCATTAATGTTCAAACACAGCTTCAACCCAACCCTGCTCCCAGCAATGTGCTTATGATGATACATCCCCTAAGCTTGGCTTAGTCCATTATTTGGACTCCCCACTCACCAAAAAGAGCCTGCAGGAGGCATGTATGCTTTTAGCTACCACCTCTCTGCTTGGTGCATGGTTTTCGTTGTGCAGCACCTTCCAAGAGGGCTTGCAGAGAGGCTTCAGCCTCTTGGGAACACTGCCCAACCCCGTCCTTGAGTTCAGCCAGCGATGATTGTTTCAGCTCTGCTTGGTTCTGTGACAAAAGAGGCTCTCTTGGAGCTAACCCAAAATTCCTCTCATGCTCTTCAGCTTCTGGAAGAACCTTCACTTTGTTTGGAGTCCTTCTGGTTCTTCCTGTTCTGATGGCTCAAAAGCATCAGTAGGGAAGTGCTGAGATGAAAGTTGATGCAGCTGAAGCTTTCTGAGGGCTGGCTTTCTCTGTGTGCCAATAACAAAGAGCAGAGAGCACTTCTCTGTGGTTTTACCCCATCAGGAGTTCTGGGTAAATAGTTTATACAGATGGGCTGACTCCAATCCCATTATTCTCCCTTTCTGTGAAAAATGAGAGTCATGAAGGTTTGGAGCAGGGGACTTAAATGAAGTTTTATGAAATGATGTTTTTCTGCTTTAAAATAAAACCTGTCAGAAGGAAAAAAAAAAAAATTACAGGAGTTAAAATTCCCACAGCTGCATCCAAGTATTTTTTAAAATGTCATTATCCTTCCAGAGTTAACACAATGTTGATGATGCTGCACAGAGATGCAAAGTTCTTTAGCTGAATCACTGTTATCATGTGCTGCCATGTGCTCTGTGAAGACAAAGTTTTTGTTGATTCAAGGTCAGACAAGTTCCATCAATATTTATCTCTTACTGTCTCATCCAGAAAGTGCCTCCAAGGTTTAAACTGGTCAACCACAGTTACATTTGAGTGCATTCTCTTAAATTTCCTCAAACATATATTGTGCTTACTTCTTTTTCTCCACTTCTGCTCCCCATGAGACATGAGCCTGCCTCCTCAGCATCCTCCCACCTTGGGCTGCATCACCACTTGTAATGTTGAGATGCAGTTTCAGCTGTAGGATCCTGGGCTGACAGAGCATACTCTTATCCCCACATGGCTCTGCCTGCTTGTGAACAGCAGTTGCCACATTTCTTAGGGGGAAAAAGTGATTTTTCTGATTCTGCTTAGTATCCTCTGAGCCATATGATTCTTTTTTAGGTCTTCCTACCCACTTATCTTTTCAGCTCAGTTTTGACTCTGTGGCTTCTTCCCTTAACATAAGGCATGAGCCTTTAGTTGCAAGTGTTTCTTAAGCCCACTCATTCCAGGAATTTTTTAGTAGGGCACCAAGATTTTTTTCAACTGTTACGCTGCATACATTCTCCTTCCCACTTCAGAAAAATACTGAAATCACTAGTTGCTTTATCTAATCTTATCTTTTCCAACCCACAACTTTGTAATCAAAGGTATTTGAAAAACAGCGGAACAGAGACCAGAAGCAAGACATGTTTGATTAGGGCTGGCACTATGCAAACATAGCTGTACTTATTCTGGGCCAGATCCAGGCTGAGTCTTGTGGAGGTACTGGCTCAGCTCAGCCTGGTGGTGTTTGTACCATATTGCCTTCCACAGTATACAGAGATACTCTCCCTCACCTAGGCTGTACTGCAACTACAGCTGTGCTCAGCAGCCCTTTCCTTGGACAGCACCCTCCTCTCCCTGCTTCAATTTCAGAGTTGCTTTTGCCCCACTCTCTCAATGCAGTGGCCCATCTTTATTTTTCCATATTTTAAAGCTCGACCTGACTGTTAGTGTTCTGTTGGCATACTGGGTCATTGCCCTTAAGCAGCTCCTAGCCCAGGTTTCTGGTCTTTGCTCCTTTCCTGCTCTGCATGGATTGGGACAGTCAGTGTCTCCTCCAGATGCAGCTGGGCAGCTCCTGCTGGGCTTCCTGCCTGCTGCCTGGTTCTTACTCTGCCATCAGCAATAACAAATGATTCCTCTTAGAAATATTCTTCACTGAATTTATTAAAAATGTCATAACCACTATTAGTCATGGCAGAAAGATGTACCTACACACTAGTCTGCACCATAGGAATTAATGGGAATATGAGTCCGCTGCTTAGCAGATTTATCATAATGGAAGCAATTTTAATCCCTCTTGAGCCAGTTTAACCAACACACAAAAGATTCTGTAGCTAATTAGCAGGTCTTTGTAGTATTCAGACCCCAATAAATATTAATGTGATGTCCTAAAGAATGAGGTTTATGTTCCTGAATCATACATTTATTAAGTCAAGATTTGACCTTTTTGGAGATTACACGGGCAAACTCCTTCACTCTCTGCAAACACAGGCAAAAAATCAATCTCCTGCAAGCATTCCCTAAAAGAATTCAAATGCCACATCCTACACTGAATGGACACATTTGATTAAACTGAATACAAAAAGACAAAATAAATGAAACCATCCTAACTCAGCTACAAAAAGTTAAGAATTAATACAATATCCACATCTTTAAAATGCCTGTTATTAGTTTTGAATAATGTCAACAATTGCAATTCTTCTGTTCTTCCTACATTAAGAGGAGAATATATCCATATATAATTGCTGCTAAAAATCTACACCAACATGCTGCTGCAGATGCAACGTCAAACACGCCCAAATTAGTAAATGCTAAAATGAAATCTATCAGTAGAGCATTCATTCACTGTCACATAGGCATTCTGCTATTTTGCTCCCAAACTAATGATCAGTAGGATTTAACTCTTGCACTTCACACACAGTTCTCTTACACAGAGGAGCAGCTGGTGACAGAGACAATAAACAACAGCATGGCACCCTGTCTGCCAAAGGGTGACAGGCAACAGGCAAGGGCTTGCTTGCTGTGGAGATTCCTGGCCATCAAGAGCCTGAGGGGGACTGCAGTGCTCAGGGAGATCAATTCAGAAAGGACACCTGTGACACTTGAATAACATGCACAATATCTGTGAAGAGCCACGAAAATGAGCTGAGATTTCATTTTGCCCGAGAGCCACCTGCATTACATCCCCATAAAACTTTAACTAAAGCTCTGGAGTGCTGTAGTGACAAAAGCAAAGAGAAACTGCCAGCCTCCATGGGCAGAAGTATAAGAACTTGGTCAGTGATAAGACTTATGATCTGCACAGAAAGATTTACAGAAGCTGACAAAAATGAGCAAAATCAAAAAGACAAAAATCTTGCAGCTTCTGGCCTACCCTGTTTTAGCATGAGTGTGCTATGAAAAAAGTCCCACCACAGGTGCAGCCTGACAAGACTGCCTTATGTCATATTCAATGCAGTATAAATCTCTAGGTAAAGTAGTACTGTGGTGATCGATCCATTTGAGTATAATGCACTCTTCCCAAATACTTTTTACCATTGGCTGACACAATGTATGAATAGTTGCAAAAATTTGGGATAAGAAAAAACTTTTATCTTTTATCAGGCCATCATTGCTTTCATAATTGTTCTTATTTTACTGAAAGACATTTTTTCCCCCAAAAAGAAAGACCACCACAGTAATCAGATATGCCTATTGCACATCTGCAGCAATACTGCTACAGTTACTTAGCAACCAGTGAGGATTAAAAAAAGAAATTATGTAAAGGAAGAGAAAAATTAGAAGCAAATTGAGCTGAATAAAAAGAAGGCAAATACCATATTGACATTCAATGTGCATAGATACATAGGGCTGTCTTTGCTGCATGCACCACCAACTGTTGGACATTGTTAAATCAGCTTCTACTATTTAAAATCAAAGCTCGGTCTAACTTAGATTTGAAAACGTGTTATCTAGAATCTGATGACTATATCCTCTTCTCTGTTTCATATTCAGGCCAGAAGGACACAACAAAATAAAGAATGGTACGTTCGCCAAAATCTTTTGGAGGTAAATACCATCCCTGACACTGAGAAAGCAACCTCAACAGGACGAATTTACAAGGAGTGAAATTCTACTCCCTCTGTTGGGAAAGAACAACCAGAAACATTCGTGGGCTTTCTGGAGGATTGGAAACTTGGCTGCTGCAGAAGGAAGCAAAGACACCTCTGCTGGCCAATGAGTTTTATGCACACTGTTAAAATCTGCTCATATGGACAAACACATCATCCCCTTCTCGCTTGACTGGATCCCTTTTCTTCTTCACAGCTCCCTTCCAGCTCAGGCAGGATTTAAAGTTTTCTTTGATTTACTTTAAAAGGTGAAGGTTTCACGTACATTCTGGCATGAGCAAATATATTGAAATTTCTATATGTTTGCCAATCTAACAAATTTTTGGCTTGACTTTTATAATTTAGGAAGGAATTAATCACATTTTGAAAGAAATTGCAGTCTTTACTGAAAGTAATGATGCTATGAATTATCACTCAGATTCTCAGCAGGAGGTAATTATGTTTATGGTAATTTGAAAAATGTAGCACTGCAGTTTTCTTTATAAGTGAGCAGTGTTTCATCAAGAGGCCATATTATATATATCACCTTCACTGCCAGAAGAGTCTTAAGTATAAAATATCAGAAAACAAAATTGGCTTCTGTACTTAATTATTACGTTATTTGCACGCTACATTTTAGCAAAAGTGCTGGCATTTACAACTCATTAATAGTTTTTTGTGGAATCAAATGCATCAAAATGAAAAAGAATAGTATTTCATTTAATCTTTGCCACTGAAATACTCTTTTGCCAATAAACTCCACATACAACCTGGCTTTACTTTCAAATTTGTTCGCAGGTAAAACCAGCTCAGGGTAAGACATCCCTCAAAACTCTCCATTAACTTAATTCTTTTCAAAACTTTGAAACAAAAATCCACAGTGTTTAATGCGGTGCAGGTCTGCCGCTATCATATTCTACATTTCCATAAAACAAGTTTTCTTCTCAAATACAAGAGAGAAATTAAGGGGTCTTTCTCAAGCACCAAAGAGAGAGAAAAAATAAGGTCAAAAAAGGATTGTGAGCTGGGCTTCTCTTGGTCTTAAATTTCAGTTAAGCATCAAGCATTTTAAAGGGAATGTGTGTTCATTTGCTCTTGGCGGAATAAGAATAGGCACCTCTCCTGGGCTGCTGCAGCTAACAAGCACCCAGCATCGATTTCTGCCTGCTGCTCTTAGCCCAGCCTGTAGCTGCCAAAAGAATCTCTCATTACCTTTGGAATTTGCAAGTGGCAGTTTCCTCCCCAGTTTGTCCTGGAGAGCAAGGAATGCCATAGAAAATTTCAACGAGGTGGAAACCTGTGGTTTACAGTAAGCAGAGGAGTGGAACAGGACTGCAAAATCTTAGATGGAAATATGAGCATTTTAAGAGCTCCAGATGAGGAATATCAATGCATAACCATCTTTTCATTCAGTCTTTGAACACTGCAAGAATTGTCACTGAGGCAGTGTAGGTGTGAAAGGCTGCCTTGAGTATTCTCTACAGCAATGGCAAACATGAAAGTCTTGCTGTCAGACTGAACAGGGCAGGTTGAGTCCTTCACAAGAGGCACCAGCAGCTAACAGATTGACTTTCAGTGATCATGTCAGTGCCACAAACCTCTAGCCACCTGAGAGAGATCTTTCATATGATTTTCTCTTTGTTTAAATCATGCATTTGCTACCTTTGCAACATAATCATGTGAAGTTTTTTCTCAGAATTTTTAATTTCCCTTTTGTTACTTGCAGCTGGATTAACCCTGAAAGACCTGAAATTCAGCTGTATTTAATTCCAAGAAAACAGAAATAGATCTCCAAATAAGCAGGTCAATAAAGTATGAGTATCCTAGTGGGAAGCAGGCACTTTCCCTGGACTACAGAGAATGGTTTGAGTTCTGGGCTGGTTTTCTGCCAGTCATGTTTAAAGCCAAGACTACCTGCAGCTGGTTTTCCTCCTGCTCTTTAAAGAGAGTTCATTATCTCTCTTCTTCTCATCTCCATGCCTCATTTCAAACCTTCACTTTAGAGAAGGATACAATAGAGTGTTAAACTTTCCTAGTTTAGGATGATAATCCCAAAAGCTGGATAGGCAAAACCAAGCAGGTCTTTCTGGAAGAAAAATGAGATTGTTGTACAGTAGTTATAGGGAGTGCTATTTCTATTATTACCTATTATCCCCTATTCCTCTGTCCAGTTCATTTCCCTCCAGAGGCCTCAGAGTAGTTCCTTATATCCATTTATTTGTCATATGCCCAAACTGTAGGTTTTCTGGGACAAGATCATCTTTTCTGTGTGCAAGCAGTAATAAGGACAGTGAAGGGCTGATTTCTGCGTCAGACCACTTGAAATAAAAGTACTGCTAAGAAATGCTGTGGGGGACATTGAGGAGTAATTCAGTCTAACACAGAAAAGCTGATGCTACAGCCTCACACAGTTGTTTTGCTTTCCCAACACTGTACATTAAAAGAGAAAAAGCATGATAGATTGCCTAAACTATTTACTATAATTTTCATTCTTTGTATTAATGTAAGAAAAATTTCTTGTCTATTAAGGTTGGTTCCTGTCAGTAGATTTGAAGTAGGATCTTTTGACCTTGGAGGAGAGGCTGAAATGCTTTGCTACAGGCACCCAGAATCATCTTCCTACCTGAAGATATTTTACCTGCAATCATTTCCCATTCAGAGGAGAGGTTCAGAGCTAGAGATTAATAACATCAGTTTCTGGTGGCCAGATATGACTATTTCTCTTAAAAGTTAAACTGCATGAAAAATATGCACCTGGGGTTTCAAAAAAGTAAAGTGTCAGGCAGAAGATGTTTTTCAATCAACTCCTTATTCCCAGCACAACAATTTTCACAGTATGTGAGACAGACACTGCTTTTTGCAAAGAGCTTGTGACTTTTGGAAGCCCTTTGGCATACAGCTGAGTGGAAATCACTGCTGAAACCCATGGGTCACTGAGAAACATGTCAACTGCAGTAGCTACCCTTCCTGTGTCTAAGAATACTTAGAAAAGTATTCTAAGCTTTGCTGTTGGTATATAGTTAGTAAGTCCTGTGTTCAAGACAACCTTTTTGCTCAATGCAAAAACTATAACAAAGTTCTTTTCTTTGAAGGACTGACATTTAAAAAGAATTCATGATTTAGTTCAGAGCCATTCCACTTAATGGGCTGATGATTTAAGTCTTCCATAGTGGATGAATCATAAATGCTGAAACCTAGCACAGTTTTGGTTTTACTGTTTAATGGGCATCTGTACTGAGCAAAGTATAAATAAAAAATTCCAAGTGACTATGCATCATAAATATTTATTTCCTAAATTATGTTTCCCTATCCATCAGACAGACCTGGGACTGATGCTGAAAAATGTATTTGTGATAAACCCCTTCCAGGAGCTACAAAATGAGCAATGGGGATATCTTGGGGTCTTTATTAATTTAAAGGTAGCAGGAAAGTGAGACTGAGTTTCTCAAAATTGTGCCCCAGCAGCTTTCCTGACACATTTCACAACATAAGCCAGACAACTGTTTTCATCTTTCCTGTAGAAAAAATAAAGATGACTCTTTGTATCAGTGCAACTTCAGTTTTATATAAATTTTCAGTTAACAAGCTGTCCCTCTAAGTCAAGAGCTGTCCTAGATGGTCACTGTCTGCAGATATCATTTCTGTGCTACCATGTATCTGGCAGGAAAAGGAGCAGAAAGGCTGTTAGAAGTTGGTGGTCCTGCCAGACTGCTAGTCTGGGGAAAGCTCTTCACAGTTACTATTAACTCCTAAATTACTGATATTTTCCAGAAAAAATATAGTAAATTCTTGAGGGAAATATATTTATTTAACAGTAAGGCCACAAGCCCCCATTGCTATTTGAGCTGTTGATACCATATAATCTTTCACACTGGGGGCTTCTGGGAAAAAAACCAGCAAATATGCCACTCATCATTCTTAGTTCCTACTTTTTGCTGTAATGTATTTTTAACAGCTCTAATTATTGCTTGGCTCTTGTACTTGAAGTGTTCTCTATGAGTCAGGCTAAAACTTAATACACATTAAATAATAAAAGAGAAGCAGCCAATTAGTAAAAATGCATCCGAGTACTGTGCAATGCAGCCGTGGAGCAGCTGATGCACGATGTTTAATGTAATTACTGGGGCTTAGATGTCAAATGATTGAACAAAGCAGCAAATCAATGAACTGTGTTTATACAGATTATTAAAATCGAGAGTGGTGAGGGATCTCAAGGTATCAGTCAACACATTCCGCTGCAGTGAGTCATTTTTTGGCAAAAGTTTGCTGAGGGATTGTGAAATCTCCTCTGTTGTAGGTTTTAAGAACAAAGCCTTGACAATCTATACCAATGCTTAGTCACCCAAACCATGCGAATTTTTTCCTAACAACTCATTTAAATCTTCCTGGAATTTAAGCTCATTGCCTCTTGTGCTAACCTCAGTTAGCACAAAGAACAGGTTGTTTTATTATTTTCTGCTGAAGCCTTGGCATAGAGCAGATGTGGCACGGGGGCTGAGTGCTGCACCCTTCCCTTACCCATCCTGTGCACATCCCTGCTCTTGCAGCCCCTGTCCCAGCAGCAGCAGGGTTGAATGGGGGGCTGCAGCATCTCAAGGGGGGAAAAAAAACTGTTCAGCCCTAAGGCAAACAGATCTCTGCATATCCATCCCTGCTATCTAAGCCAAGACAAGGGCTCTCATTTACCTCTCCTTACTTGTTAGCAAAAAGGACTAAAATAAGCTCTTGCCTATAGTTAGAGCTTGGACACAGACTTTACTTGCATATTGTGAAGATATATTAATATCTTATTCCTTCACTTTTTTTTACTTATTTAAATAACATAATTATAAAAAATCCACATAAGCAAGACTGATATGTTATTCAACCACGCGAAAATATTAAAACATGATAAAAAGTCCCAAACCAAGATTTGAAATTTTAGGATATTGTCCCAACAGTAAAGAAATTACTGATAGGTTGTGGGAGGAAGGAAGCTTTTGGAAGTTCCCTGCTTGCTTTCTTTTCTAGCTTATAGTCCTGATACGGAAATAGTTGCTGACCTTTAACTGTGATATTACAGAGTGAAAATGAGGACATTCTGATAGGAGAATGAAGCTATGTGTGTCATCGTGTACAAATCATTAAGGCCGGTGCCCTCAGATAATTGACTAGCCAGGAAATTTTCAGAGAATTAAAACAGAGAAACTCAACTATTTAATTTCCCTGCTTCTCTGTGAAGTGTAAGTTACTACATTTTTTAAATGAGTGTTCAATTGACTGAGCAATCCCAAACTGGTAATTTGGTTGTGCCCTCAGCAGTGGCTGTGGCAGGCTGAATGCAGCCCCAGCGCTTTCACAGCAGGAGAGGAGCAGGAGAAAATGAACAGCAGGGTTGTCACAGCCTCCTGTGCTATACACACATATCCCAATCCACACCATACATCAGCAGACATCACATGGCAACTAGAAGCTGAACTGAAGCTCCTCTGGTGATTTCAGGGCTGTTTCCATAAAGCCAAGGGAAGATAGCACATAAATACACAACATAGAAGAGCTAAAAGCCACGTAATGGAAATCTTTAGGGTGAATGGAATAGTTGTGTGAGACAGGGTAGACACCTGGAGTATTTTGAATAGCTGTGACAGCAGTGACAGTCTGCTGTCAGTAAATCATCAGCAAGGTGCAGAAGGAGCACGTTTGAGAAATGAAACAAAAGTAGAAGCACTAAACCCTTTCATCAGTGAAAGGGCTTTCTCGAGGCTCGTACCTGGTGTTTCACTTTAATGGCCTCACAGATCCAGCTTGGCAATAAAAGACATAAATGTGACATCCTCAAATAGCCTGCCCACAGCTCAGGGAAGGTGCCTGTGGCTTCTCCCCTGACCACTTTGGCAGGTCCCAGACAATGCTGGGGAAGGCTGCCCTGTGCAGGCCCCTTCTTTACCTCCTTCTCCCTGCCTGCTACAAGATGTTGAGAGGCAAACCCAAAATGAAGAGAGATTATTCCACAATCAAATTCACATGAAAAATGCTTACCTGGACCACAGGTATTTACTACTCTGATGCTCATGTTCCTGGTTACTTCACATGAACAATGGTGGAAGTCACTTGAATGGTATCCAAGGAGACAACTTGACTGAATCAAACTAATTAATCCTCTCTTGCTGCTGTTTACAGTTGTTTTTAAACAGGCAGTAACTGATCCCGCAGAGCTGGTTATGGCTCCTCCTTAAGGACTGCTCTATACAGATATGCCATACATTTATTAGAGCTGGGTTGGCCTCTTAAAGTAATGTTATTAAGCTTCTCCATTTCATTCCTAGCATATTATTTTCCACTTTTAACTACTAGCCTCCAGTTACATTAGTTCCCCATGGATTTCTCTTCAGTTTCAGGAACACAGCTATCACCCATGTGATTCCATTTCTAGTGTGTTATTCCAATTTTGCCACCAGGTGTCATCAGAAGTCTCACCAGCGCCGTGGCTCTCGCTTCCTGAGGGATTTGGCAACTCGGGGTGTGCGTGGGGAGGTGTATGGGAGGTGTCATTAGCTACAGATAAACTGACACGACAGTAAGGGGGCCACACTTCTGATCTCCCCATGGCTTTCTTTGTTTAGCTAGACTTTGCATTGCAGCAACAGAATGCAAACCACACGCTCCAGATGTTTGCACCGTGGTGGGTGACACCAGCCTGCCTTTGGTTTCGCTAGGAGTTATCCCAAAGTCTGCCTGGATTTACAGTCCTCATTAGCAAGCTGGAAGAAGTCATTCTTCTTGTGTCTGGCCTTAAAGGCTTTTCAACCAGCCATTGGAACTCCCATGAGACCTACAGGATAAAAAACAAATTGGAAAGGCATCAGATAGGACTCACTAATTCATCCCAGGGTTTCATTTATAAGGGCTTACTTCCTTCCTCTCTTCCTGGTAGATGGTGAAATAATTTTTTCTCAAGCAAATGTAGCTCTTCGTCTTTCTTCTCCATCTCCCCCTCTGCAAATTTTCATTTATTTTCAACAAAAAATATTCAATGCTGTTTCTACCTGTCATAGTCAACCTGCCCATTTCTGTAGGCCATCACTTGGCCAAGTCTCCATTTCTACATTAATTTATTGCATAGGGGATTTCCTTCTTTTTGTCTGAACCAGAAGCTTGGATGAATTAGTGTTCGCCAGGGCTGCTAATTAGACACCTGATACAAAGGAAGAAGCTTGCCCTCACTTCTCCCAGGCACCCAGGCACTGTGGGCTCTTGCTGTCCCCCTTGCTACCTGCATGGGGGCAAAGCTAGCCCAGCCAGCACAGTGCCAAGGTGGCATGGCCACTGCTTTCTTAGATATCATCTACCAGCAATCTACAGAAAGAACACTGCAGTGAGGAAAGACCAGCATCACTAAAGTCTTTAGTGCCTTTCAGACAAGCCCCAATGCACAAATAAATTACGTATTTCCAAATTTTTGTTATTTTGTTTCCGCTCATACAACATTTTAATTGATTTTTCATTCCTGATAGGTCTAGTGTTTGGATTTTTCCCTTTTGAGGTGCTTTAGCTGGACTGGATGCTGTCCAACACCTTTTAACTCAGTTGTGTTTGACAGCACGTGATCCTGCTTTCCTCTGGGATTTGACGGGAGCAACCCTATGTCTTCATTTGCTGTTATTCTCATGCAAGGTGAATAGCAATGTCTTCTTCAGTCAATCCCTATGAAGATGGAAAGATAACTGATTAAACAAGGCAAAGAAGAGTCTTGATCTGGAAACTCTCTACTTCCGACTCCCTTGACACCCAGTATTGGTAGAGAGGAAGGAAGCACACCAGGCAGGAAGGGGTCCCAGGTGAGTACTGAAAAGTCTGGGAAACTCTGGCCTGTGCCTTTGTCTTGCATGAGATGGCTGCTTACGTAAAATTCAGTCTTCAGAGAATTCCATAAACTGAATTTACTGCTAAGTATAACCCCTAGATTTCACACAGGATGGGTTATTATTAATATCCCATCTATTTGACCTAGATTCTGTCGGCTGTAAAGTGCCACATTTAAATTTAACTTCTGAAGGAAAAATAATTGAATTGAAAAATCAATCACTAGGCAATTTTACATTCAGTTCATTTAAGGTCAAGTTATTGCTGTCTCAGAGAATAAAAGTTTCCTTAATGGATCAAGTTCAGGAGTGATGTGAAATCAGGCATAATTACATACTGGCTAATGAGCCTAAACTGGCACACAGCATACATATTGAGGGGTATGTATCCATTTACACCCTCTTTGACTCACTTATTAGTTGGACAAGAAGGCAAGGGGCAGGAATTGCCACCGGGGGTTTTGGATGCTCCAAAATGCCACAGCTGAGGCAGACAGGGCAGACATTGCCTCCTGCATGAGCAGGCCAGGAGCTGGCAGGGGGATCACAGGTGGCTTCCCAAGGGTATTTCTGCTGATATCATACATCTGCTGTGCCAGATGTGATCTGCTGTGGGTGACTGTCCTTTGCAACCCATATGATACCATTTCCACCATTCTGCACCTTTTTAGGGCTCTAGGGAAGTCCTAGTCCCAGCCCAGGGTGAAATCTAATGGGTTCAACTTGCTTTAGATTTTAGTCTTTGTCAACTCTGAGTTATGTTTGGAATTTCTGTAGAAAATCAATCACAATCCAGTTTGAGAGGTTCTTGGATCTTACATCTGATTTGTTCTCCAGCTCAAGGTGCTTTGGGTTTTCACCTATTTTTTCAAACTGCCATAATTTCATTCAGCAGAACATTTTCAACAGAATTTTGTACCACTTCTAACTTCATCATGGTATATCCATCTCCACTGTTCACAGATCTTAGCCCAGTGTAACTTGGTTCCAGATTAAATTAAATAATTCCAGATTTAAGGCTTTGCATTTGGCTTTTGGATTTTTTCTTTCCAATTTAGCTTATGGGCTCTAATTAAGTATAAAAGTATTTGCCTATATAAAAGAATCCCTAGGGTTTTTCTTATGTCAAGATAAATATCAGGTCAGGTTAAGTTTTTAATATGTCTTTTCACAAGTAAGATTTTATCATATACTATATTTTTAAATATCTTATTAGGTTCTGTGGAAAACAATTTTATTGACTTATAACAGTAAACTCGGAAGTGATTAATTACTTTAGGACAGTAATCAGCAAAGTGCTTTAGAAAAGTACCTTTTTCTTCTAATGACATATTTCTTATTAGTTCTGTTTTTAGGGAATCTATGTTGGTTCTCCTAACTAAATAATCCTTGCACATGCAGTATATTTAAAACATAGCCTTAGAAGACTTAGTTTTACAGACATGCAGGACTTCTACAACTTAAAGCTGTAGTGCTAAAGGGAAAAAAAGCTATATGCAAATTTAACTGCACTCATCCTAAAATAACATCAGCTGGCCACAAGAAAATCCATCTGTCCGCATTACTCTCTTCTTTACTCTGAGATGCAGAATAAATCAAATATCCCTAGTGCAACTTGACAGAGTTACACTTTTATTCCTAGTTTTGCATTTCAAGGTAGCATGGAACTTTAGAAGGAATCACAGATTTTTAGTCTTTATCTGCACATCAAGTCAGAATTTCTAATATAGAGATTCTTGATTTTCTTTTCAACAGGCATGGCTATGGGAGGAGCACAGCTGGTGAGACAGCTGCAGTGAGGTTGCAAGGATTCTGCTCACCAGAGACCTACAGATTTTAGGGGTGCAATTCTTTCCAATCCCCCTCTTCCCTGTTTCCTTCATTCCTGAGTTAGTGAAGAAAAGGAAATTCCTTAGATGAAATTCCTTTATGCAAAAGTTCTATGACATTTTTGTCCACTGTATGTTTCCTTCATCAGAAGATGAAGCAAATGCCATGTCAGAACATGGGGCTGAGCTGTGTACTTCAGTCTCAAGACTTCTTGTTGCAGCCAAGACTGGATCTCCAGGAGAAGGCATTGGACAGATCAATGAAAATATAGGAGGACTCTTTGAAAATACAGTTAAATACAAAATCAGATTCTACCTAATTAAAAAGCTCAAAGAGTTCCTCTAACTTAGCCATATCTTGAGTACATATTTTCAGTACATAAGAATATGCCTAAAAAAGGGAAACCAAAGAAGGGCTCTCAGTGCAAAGTTTGCATGCAACAGTAAACCATACTTTATCTTCCTTTTGTTTATTTTTTTAAAATCAATCCGAAAATTTCTTAGCAGACTGAATATTTCTATTATAAACTTACGTCCAGCTGTTCCAGGTATGACAAGCTCTACTGAGCTTTTCTTTGGTCTGTTGTTGTCCTCCTGGTATGAAGTCTCTGTGGGAACTGCAGAAATGCTTGGCAGCAGCTCTCAATTCCTTACAATGCCTACAGAGAGATTTCTTTGGAGCGTCACCCTCTATACTTTCAATCAGTGCCAAGAAGAAATTAATTTCTCCTGGGGAGTGGTAATGTTAATTTTTTGGTTTCTTTATTCTCTAAAGGGACTCTAGTCAGTCTTGTTATCCCAAGTTTAACTCTGAAAATTGAGTTTCAACATAGCAGAAACATTTTGCTTGTTTACTTGTTTCAATGCTGCTAGAAATAAGAAGATCTATCCCAGAAAATAGGGGAAAAAAATCCCTCTATCAGCAGTATATGCAGACCAAGCATCATGCCTTCTTAACAGCACACAGAAATAAGAAAATCAGTCAAACTGCTCTACTGTTACTATTTGGTTTTTTTTCTCTTTATAATCCCTGTCCATACTTCATAGAGATCTGATAATTTATTATATGGCTCCAGGTTGTGTACCACACCAAGGCAGCCCTGCCTGTGGGCTGACTGCACCACAGTTATGAGCTGCAGCATAAGTGCCAAAGATCAGAGCAGCCAAGCGCTCAAGATTTCCAAAAGCTGTGGCCAGGACACTCAGCTATTTGAGGAGAATGGCATCACTGTTCATCTTTGCTGTTGTAAGACAGAAGAGAACTGTGATGTGATCTCCAATTTACTTTCTCAGCCATTCCCTTTAATAACAGACACTGGACAAGAGGCTGACTTCCCATCAGGAAGGCTCTGATTCCCTACAGGGCCCTGGCAATCTGTTTCACAGACTGTCTTGGTTCAGTCCTGCTAGAACTGTCTGTGTCTTCCTTTTGTCCAAAAATCACTAGCTGGTTTTAAGGTCCTGGTGTTTCTTTTCATGAGCACACAATATAAAAAACTCCCTTTGTCTCTACTGCATGTGAAAGAGACACTCACAGAATCAAAATTTTCTTATTTTAAATCAAACTAGAAAGCAAGTAGCTGATGTGTTGGAACACACCGTTGTGTGAACTGCTTGCTGAAAGCATGCAGCCAAGAGCTGAGAGAAGGTGGGAACAATCACCACTATCAACCTTCCAAATACCAACCAAAAAAAGTTTGATGATTTTCATGTTCTCTATCTGTCATGATAAGATAATTCCTTTGACAATGTGGTGAAATATATCCCTAAAATGAAAGAGGACAATTGTAATTTTTTTGTTCCTACCTTCTTAAAATAAGCTTTATTTGCTATCTGGAGTCCCTTTCTATTGACCTTACTCTCTGGAAACATCCAAGTATATTTTGGAAGAATCAGATAATTTAACATGTGGTCAAACTAGGAATAAATTTTCCACGTGGCATGTTTTAAGGGATGTCTGGCTATGTCCATACAAAGATCAAGTTCTATTAAGCTTCTATCTTCAATATCAATGTTCTTTGTTACAGAAGCAGGGAGCTGAATGTCTGCTTTAGAATAAACACATGCACGTGAACAGAAAGAAATAACCATCACTAATACAGTTTTGTCATTGCTTTCTGGTAATTCCTTGACTTG